AATTGTAGGTTGAGGCCTTTTCTTTCAGCACTTTAAAACTGTTGTTCTACTGTCCTTTGACTTGCATCATTCCTGATGAGAAATTTGCATTCATTGGTATTGCTATTTCTAAATATGCTGTATGTCATTTTCCCCCTCCTCTAACTGATTTCAAGTCTAACTTTTTTTTGTCTATGGTTTTCAATAATTGTATTATGTGTCTTAGATAATTTATTTGGGTTTATTATCTTTAAAGTTTGTTATGTTTTTGTATCTGTAAATTTGTATTTTACCTCCTTCAGGAAGTTTTCAGATATTATTTTTATAAATGTATTTTGCCTCTGCTTTAAGCACTCAAATGACACAAATGTGAGAACCTTTGATATTGTCCCACAAGTCTCCGAAATTCTATTCATTTTGTTTTCCTTTTTCCTTTCTTTTTTATATTAGATAATTTCTCTTCCTTCATCTTCGAGTTCACTTACTCTTTCCTCTCTCGTCATCAGTTATTGACTCTGTCTTATGCTTTTTTTTTTTTTTTGAGTTGGGATCTCACTCTGTTGCCTAGGCTGGAGTGTAGTGGCACAATTGTTTCTCATCACAGCCTCAGCCTCCTGGGCTTCGGTGATTCTTCCATCTTAACCTCCTGAGTATCTGGGTCTGCAGGCATGTGCCACCACACCCAGTTATTTTATTTTTTTGTAAAGATGAGGTCTCACTATGTTGCTCAGGCTGATTTCAAACTCCTGGCTTCAAGCAAAACTACTACCTCAGCCTTCCAAAGTGCTGGAATTACAGGATGAGCCATTGCACCCAGCCAGATTTTCAATTTTGGATATTTGTTTTCTAATTCTAAAAGTTTATTTTAGTTCTCTTTTATAGATGCTATTTCACTCCTGAAAATTTCTATTTCAAGAGTATTCACCGCAGTTCATATAAAATGTTTCTGATAGCTGCTTTACAGTCTGTCTGACAATTTCACACATCTGAATCATCAGTCTGTTGATTGCCTGTCCTTTTGAGAATTGGTCAGATTTCCATGGTTGTTTGTATATCAAGTGATTTCAGGTTGTGTTCTGGACATTTGAATATTGCATTGTCAGACTTTTCATATTGTTACAATTCTCTGGAGAATATTGATTTGTTGTTTTTGTTTTAACAGGCAATCAGGTTACTCAATCTGTTTCTTTTTTCTGTGGTGGCAGTTTCAATGTGAATTCAATTTTCAAAGGCTTTGCTATGCTATTTGTGTCATACACCCTGAGGCAGACATCACTTAGGATTTGCTCAAATGCCTGAGTGGTTTTTATACTTAATTTAGTTCCCAACGCCTTTACTACATTTCTCTGGTCACTTTCTATGCATGTGCAGCTTGGGAGTGAGCTTAATACTTGTGTAGGTTCAAACACAGGATTTCAAAGTCTCTTCTTTTTTTCTTTTAAAGATGTGGGGTACAATTCAGGGTTAGGTACATAAGTGTTCATTGTACAGGTAAAGTGTGGGTGTCCTTATTGATGTTATGTGCCCCCCTCCCCTGTCAGTGCCCCACTACTGCTAATCCTTTTCTTATAATATTATAATAATGTTCAGGGTCCGCTTATGAGTGAGTACATGTAGTACTTAGATCCTTGTTTCTGTAATAAAACACTGAGTATTATAGACTCTAATTCCATCCAAGTTGCTACAAAGTTCACAATTTTGGTTTTATTTGTGGCTGCATAATATAATGTACCATATCTTCTTTATCCGGTATACTTTCAATGGGCAGCATAGTTGGTTCCATGTTTTTGTTATTGTGAATAATCCTCAATGAACGTGCATGTATGGGTATCTTTTTTATAGAGTCTGAATTCCTCCAGTTATAATCACAGAAGGGGGATTGCTGGGTCATATGGAAGGTCAATTTTTAACTCTTTTAGAAATCACCACACTATTTTCCACAGAGGCTGTACTAGTTTATATCCCATCAACAGTGTAGAAGTGTTTTCTTTACTCCACATCCTCTCCAGTATTGTTGTTTTTTGAGTTATTGATGATGGCCATCGTGAATGGAGTTAGGTGGTATCTCAGTGTGGCTTTAATTTGCATTTCTTTGATGACTAGTGAGGCTGAGCATTTTTTCATGTGTCTGTTAGCTGTTCTTATGTCTTCTTCTGGGAAGTGTTTATTCATATATTCATATCTTTTGCCCTTTTTTTTTTTTGAGTTGGAGTCTCACTCTTTGTCGCCCAGGCTGGAGTGCAGTGGCACACTCACAACCACTGCAGTGTTGACCTGCTGGGCTTAGGCGCTCCTTCCGCCTCAGCCTTCCAAGTAGCTGGAACTACAGACGCACGTCACCACGCCCAGCTAGTTTTTGTGATTTATTGTAGAGATGAGGTCTCATCAAGTTGCCCAGGCTGGTCTTGAACCCCTGGACTCAGGTAATCCTCTCGCCTAGGCCTCCCAACGTGCTGGGATTACAGACTGAGCACCGCGCCCAGCCTGCCCATTTTTTTTTTAAATAGGGCTGCTTGTTTTGTTCTTTTTGGCACATTTGAGTTCCTTGTAAATCCTGGATGTTAGGCCTTTGTCAGATTTACAGTTGGCAAATATTTTGTCCCATTTTGTGGACTATCTTCTCATTCTCTTGATTTTTTTTTTTTTGCTTTGCAGAGGCTTCAGTTTGATGAGGTCCCACTTGTCTATCTTATTCGGAGTCTCTTCTTAAACTTCTTCCTCTGTAGGATTTTCTTCACACTCTTGCATCTAGGACTCTTTTGCCAAGTTTCTGTGGCCAGAATGATTGAATTTTCTTCCAGTTGGGGCCTCCTGTGTCATTGCACAGTTCTGTGAAATTGTGCAACACAGCAAAGCAGCAAATAAAAAAGGGGGGAAAAGCATATATAACTGTGATTACTCCCTTTCTTTCTGCACAATGAGGTCCCCTTTTTCTGATTCTTCTATCCAAAAGGTTGGATTATTTTTTGGGATCTTAAACATCTGTGTCTCCATAGGTTAGCAGCACTGGTCTATGCTTAAAGTTGATCTGAGGGCAGGACTAGGGGAATAAAAACAGAAAAATAAGCATGGGGATTTATTCTGGCTTGTAAGGGCCCCTTTTCCTTCATCTCTAGCCAGAACAAGGAATGCAACTTGGATTTCTTTTACTGTTTGCACCCCTTCCACAGTTCCCAATTTGGCTCGCCTTCCAGCCAAATCCACAAGGAGAAACAAAGAAGAAAACTCAGATACCCTTCTGCAACGGAGTTGGTCTTTAAAATTTGACTTCTCGGCCGGGCTCGGTGGCTCAGCCTGTGATCCCAGTGC